TGGCGACCCCTGCTTAATAAAGGGACTGAGCTGAAAAGAAAATGAATGAATGTTAGAATTTTATGAATTGCATTACCTTAAGAAATTACAGCCTCATCTACATTGTGTTTTAAAAAAAAACTGTCAAAACCTACCTCTTCTTTTTAGCCTAATAAACATTAGTTTTTTTTTTCTCACTCTTTTAGGACTCATTGTCTATACAGATTTAATTAATTTTATTTTAATTTTTTTTTACATTTTATTGTTGCATAAATTGTCTTGTCTCTCTAATTGTTTATTATTTTTGCTATGTTTGTGAAGCACTTTGGACAACATTCTTGTTGTTTTAAGATGCCATGTAAATAAAATTGACCTTGACGTTGATCTAGGGATTTTTTAAATAAAAGATTTTAAAAAAGAATGCAAACTTATTACTTTTTTTCACAACTTTCTTTGCTTGTCTTCCCCAAGGGTGCTTCCAAATAACTTTGACCAACACTATAGTTTTACAACTTCTCTCTCTAGAATATATATATATATATATTAGTAGGTTGTTCACCCAAAAATTTAAACTTACTCATTATATATTCTCCCTTGTGGTTCCAAACCTTTATGAGTTTCTTATTTCTGTTGAACACGAAAGAAGATGGTTTGAAGAAAGCTTTAAACCTGTAACCATTGACTTACATTTTAGAAAAAAACAAATACTACGGAAGTCAATGGTTACAGGTTTTCAGCTTTGTTTAAAATATCTTCTTTTTTCATTCAATCATTTTCCTTCAGCTTAGTCCCTTTATTCATCTGGGATCGCCACAGTTGAATTAACCGCCAACTTATCCAGCATATATTTTACACAGCAGATGCCCTTCCAGCTGCAACCCAGTACTGGAAAACACCATACACAATCATTCACAGACATACACTATGGCCAATTTAGTTCATCCAATTCACCTATGCTGCATGTCTTTGGACTGTGGGGGAAACCAGAGCACCTGGGGGAAACCCACTGTCTTAGCCGGGACTCATACCAGCAGTCTTTTTGCTGTGAGGCGACAGTGCTAACCACTGAGACACCGAATTGCCATCTTTTTTAGTTTTGTGTGAACTATCCCTTTAAAAGTGAAATATGCATTTTATTCTAGTGTTTTTTCAGTCTGCAATAAATAACTTAAACTAAATGTAAACCCAAACATGCTGTCACTAGTGTAGTTTTTAAGCCAGAATGCGTCAAAAAAGTTCACATTAATTAATTCACAAATTAATAAATATTTCCATATGTTGTAAATTTGCATCAGCTCATGTAATGTACTGTGGGAATAACTTGCTGCCAGTGTCGCCTCTAATTCCCTTTTGCAAACAGGCCAGCATGAAATTTGTCGTTCATTATTTGCATAATATGCTAACACATGCCATGTTTCCAGCCCAAACTGAGAGCCACAGCTCTGTTATGAAACTAGCCCAAGGGAAATGGCCTTTTATTTTACTAATGAATTGTTAATGTATTTAAATTATACTTGCTCTGTCAATTTGAATCAGCTCAATATGATGATATTAATGAAACGTAGTTGTATCTGACACAATCATGTAAATCTTTTAATATGTAATGATGCCTAGCTTTTTTTGACTTCCTCTGCGTTGTCTTTTCTTGGTTATTTGACATGATGTTTTTGCAAATACATTTTGCAAATGCACTAAAGTACAGTGTGAAAGATCCTTTAAAAATGAACACAAAGGCAATTAGGGCAGCGCAGTGGGTAGTGCACTCGCCTCACAGCAGGAAGGTCGCTGGTTCGAGCCTCGGTTGAGTCAGTTTGCATTTCTGTGTGGAGTTTGCATGTTCTCCCCATATTTGTGTGGGTTTCCTCTGGGTGCTCCGGTTTTTGTCCAAAAACATGCGGTACAGGTGAATTGAGTGAACTAATTGTCCATAGAGTATGTGTGTGGATTAGTGTGTATGGGTGTTTCCCAGTGATGGGTTGCATAAATGAACAAAGGCAATTATATGAAATTGAAAGTGTTAGTGATCAACCAATCAAAAATGCATATGCAGAACTGTTTGCCAAGGCTGTAGACTAATGGTAATAATGTTATAAATAATATAATTTTTCTTTCAAAGGTCAATGGTTTCGATGCACCCTTTAGACGCACTCCCGCCCTCCCGGTGCACACAGTAGAAATGATCTCACGCTGTAGTGGTGAGAGTTGTGCGTGGCTTTCAGTGCAACGTAAACAAAAGATACGTTAGAGTAATTATTACAAATTAATAAAAGGATCATGTATGTATGAACACAGATAATAACAACAGTTCATTAAAATTCTTAGCTACTATATTACTTAAATTAACATTAGACAAATATTATTTTTTTATTTATTCTTTTTTTTATGTCATTTATTAAAGTTATCACTCCCCTGCTGAAAAATCCAGCTTAAACCAGCCTAGGCTGGTTTAAGCTGGATTTTTTAGCAGGGATGTTTAAATCAATAACTTTTTCATTTATTAATTTAATTTTATTTAAAGTCCAAAAAGAGAAATGGACTATTGTTTGTTTTTATTAATCTTTTGGGTTGAATTTGGTTACTGAGCAGCAATAAACAACACTTCAAAATATAAACATGCGATTTTCTAAACTAGTGGTATTTTTAATTTAATAAATGCATAATACTGGTGATAACCGTGAAACCATGAATATTCTTCAGACTCATCAAACCAAAATCTATAATTGTCGCATCCCTAATTGTTACGCAGTTTAAAACATAACATATGAATGTGTCTGAATGTAGAAAAAGCCTACTTAAGCAATGCACTGCTTCTGTTGTGCTTTGAAATGCAACATTTGAATATGTTTGTAAAAAAGCCACATTGTTCAATGCAGTCATGTGATGTGATGTAGTTTCAAAATACAACATATTACCGTTTTAATGTAGAAAAAGCCAATGTAATTGTCTTAAGGAGCAAAAATACAGCATATGGGTTCCTATTGCCTGTTGTGTCATCACTTATATTGCAAGTCATATTTCTCCACCCCCTCATTTGGCATGCTTTTCTAAACTGGTCCCCATGACAAACTAATTAAGTAGCCCTGGCATACATTCAACGAGATACTGGAAATATTCCCCATTTATTTTGGTCTATATTGACATGATAGCATCACACAGGTGGTGCAGATATGTCGGCTGAACATCCATGATGTGAATCTCCCGTTCCACTAAATCACAAAGGTGCTCTATTGTATGGATGCCATTTGAGTACAGTGAACTCATTGTCATGCTCAAGAAACCAGTCTGAGATGATTTGCGCTTTATAATATGTTATCCTGCTGGAAGTAGCCATCAAAAGATGAGTATACTGTGGTCATAAAGGGATGGACATAGTCAGCAACAATACTCAGGTAGGCTGTGGGGTTGACACGATGCTCAATTGGTACGATTGGGTTCAAAGTGTGCCAAGAAAATATCCCCCACACCATTACACCACCACCAGCCTGAACCGTTGATACAAGGCAGGATGGGTCTATGCTTTTATGTTGTTGGCGGCAAATTCTGACCCTGCCATCTGAATGTCGCAGCAGAAATCGAGACTCATCAGACCAGGAAACGTTTTTACAATCTACTTTTGTCCAATTTTGGTGAGCCTGTGTGAATTGAAGCCTCAGTTTCCTGTTCTTAGCTGACAGGAGTGTCAACCAGTCAGAGATGCTCTTCTGCTTACCTTGGTTTTAGCGAGTGGTTATTTGAGTTACTGTTGCCTTTCTATCAGGTGGAACCAGTCTGGCCATTCTCCTCTGACCTCTGGCATTAAAAAGGCATTTGCGCCCACAGAACTGCCCCTCACTGGATATTGTCTCTTTCTCAGACCATTCTCTGTAGACCCTAGAGATGGTTGTGCATGAAAATCCCAGTAGATCAGCAGTTTCTAAAATACATAGACCTGCCCGTCTGGCACTAACAACCATGCCATGTTCAAAGTGACTTAAATCAACTTTCTTCCCCATTCTGATGCTCGGGTTGAATGCAGCAGATTGTCTTGACCATGTCTACATGCCTAAATGCATTGAGCTGCTGCCATGTGATTGGCTGATTAGAAATTTGCGTTAAGCAGTTGAACAGGTGTACCTAATAAAGTGGCCTGTGAGTGTGGGCAAAGAGGATATATTCTTAAAGTTTGTTTCAGTAATTTCATGACTTTAAAATTTACTCAATATTTTTTAAGTGTAAAATAGTTCCACCAAAACAATTGAGTAGATCATAGAAATACTTAAAAATTCTCAGTATCGCTGGATTTATTAGAGTAACATGTTACTCTTTAACTTAATAAAATATTATTATGTCATTCAGAGATTTATTTGTTTAATTATAATTTCTTTACTTTTCTTAAGTTAAAACATGTTGTGTTGTCTATGAGTATAAACAAGTCTGAAAAGATAGTTAATTTTTCTAATAAAAAAATCATCAAAAACCTTCCCAGTGTTGAGTTGCAGGTTGAAGAGCATCCGCTGCATAAAACATATGCTGAATAAGTTGGCGGTTCATTCTGCGGTGGCAACCCCAGATTAATAAAGGGACTAAGCTGAAAAGAAAATGAATAAATGAATCACTGAAAACATTATTCATATATTATATATTATTTACGTTTTTAAGAAGTAGTTTTAGTTTAAAATGTAAAAGTAGTTTGTATTAATGCCATAACTATATTGTAATTTCGAGCATTTTTGCATAAAAATAACTATTTATCAAAGATTTCCACACTTTTATTCTACAGCTGTATGATGCAAATATGTCCATCTTTTAAATCTCTGGAAAATAACTCCCTAATAATAATACCACATAATTTTAGCTTTGGGCTTACATTCTAATACCATCATGTTGCATTCAGCCGCTATGGCATTCCTAAAATAAAATGCATCCAAGGCGCTTCTGCGTGTCATCTTGCAACGTGGCGTCCACGCCCATCTCGAGTTACAGACAGCCCCAAGCCCAATAGCAGAGCTTCTAACATTCCACTTTTCTTTGCTAGCCAGTCAATGATTGGCTGTCCGCTGACACGCATCCATTCGGTGTTTGGTTGTGGCGTTTAGTGATCCGCCGGGCATGTTTGAATCGAAAATGAAAAGATCCGACTTGTGTTCTGGAGACTGGGATTGTTTCGCTCCCAGTTGATAACAATTGAAAGGTGTTCTTCTGGCAGCTGCAGTTTCTTGTGATTTTGGCGATATATGATAACGCCTAACAGTTTTTGAGGTCCCTCTTTGAATTACGTCCTTTTAAAAATGGAGGTTTCGACCTATTTGTGGCTTTTGTCGCTCTGCACGAGTCTTGTGCAAGGAAAACCCACTCTCAGGAAAGAAAGAGTTCACCACGAGCCCGAACTGAGCAGACAAACACACGAAGACAACCAGAGTTATCAATACGACCACGAGGCCTTTCTGGGCAAAGAGGAGGCCACCACATTTGACCAGCTCACCCCGGAGGAAAGCAAAGCCAGATTAGGGTAAGATTTGAGGGTTTTTGTCACACAAAAACGTACCTTTACTTCAGCATTACCTCTGTATGTGGTTTAGAGACAGATACAACTGCTCAAAATGGCCAAAAAGACAAGTTAGTTTTATAATCTAGATTAAAACGTGTCTTATTATTGGAAATTAAGGATATGTATATTCACATACTGACTGAATTTTTATAGTTAAATCTAATGAAGTTTTCTTGTCATCAAGCAAACTGACTATAGTATTAAAGTTTTTATTACTTAAATTTAGTTGAAACCTGATTAGCATATTCAAACAAGTTAAATCAACATTACATTTACATTACATTACATTTTAAACAGTGTGTTGTTGTTTATAGTTTTTTTATTTGCTACTACTATATGTGATCATAGACAACAAAACCTTCTGAACAAGTCTTTTGTTGCACGGTTATATTTTTGGCAATAGATAAAAATACTTTATACTGGTCATGATTAGATTTCTCCTTATAGACCAAAAGTAAATCATTAGGATATTAAGTTAAGATCATGTTCCATGAAGACATTTTGCATTTTCTACATTAAAAATACATTTCTATACATCAAAAATTCATTTTAGATTAGTAATATGCATTGCTAATAACTTAATTTGTACAGGTTTTCACAGTATTTAGATTTTTTGAACTCTTAGTTTTCAGATTTCCATAGTTATATCTCGGCCAAATGTTGTCATTGTAACAAACCATCAGCAAAAGGTTATTTATTCACCTTTCAGAGAATTCATAAATGTTAATTTTTTTTTTTAAAATTGTCAATTATGACTGGTTTTGTGGTCCAAAGTCACATATACTATTTAAGAAAAACATGTACAGTAACGAATTAGTAAATATAAATACATGTAGTATAAAGTTATGTAAAGGAATGTATCAACAAATGTGAATACAAATACTCCAAATAAATCCAAAGAAAGTCTTTAGTTTATTTTTATGGATTTTCCTGTCTCATGACGATAAAATGCCCTCCAGTGTGGTGGTTGCCACACTGCCATGTCAACAGTATCTGGGTTATGGTGCCAACGTAACTCGTTGTCCAGCTCACCATGGGGTGAAATGGGCGTAAACATGAAGGCATTCCCCCAGATCTCCTCTCCTGGCTTTCTGAGTGGGAGGAGGGCTCACTGCACTTCACAACGTGGCATCAGGGATAAAAATAATTTGCTGTTGACAGCCTTGTAGTAACTTGAATTTCAGTTCCTGTCAAGAACATGTCTTTGGGTCGTATTTCAACTTAAATTGAAAGAAGAACCTGCTTAAAGGCAAGAAGAGGAAACTAGATTATATTTTTATTCACCAAGGAGAGTGAAATGAATTTTGGTTGTAAAATCTGATCAATTTTTATTAGAAATGTAATTATAGGGTGTGTTAATTATCTATATCTTTCTAGTGTGTGTGTATATTTATGATGTTTGTGCTGCTGATTATTAACTGTCAAACTAAAATTAAAAAATATATTTTTTTTTTTCTCTTGCAAACTGGATTGAAAATGCCCAGAGGTTTCCTTTAATGTTGTGAAAACAGTAAAAATAAAAGTTAAAATAATTGAGTAGATCATAGTAAGACTTTTTACAGTGTACAGCTATGGAAAAAATAAAGAATCTAATTATAAATTGCCAATTTATCTGGATTAATCAAAGTCAAAAAGTCAAAAGTTAAAATATTTATCTTTTTGTTCAATTTTAAACTTGATCCTCTTATTTTTACATTGCAGACCATCAAATCCTATAATGTTTGTAGGAATGATGCATATGTTTGGGAACACTTTAATTCATTAATACTATATTGTAATTAAATCAAGTCTAGTTAATTTGAGCTTTATTGTCATTCTGCTACATGTGTGGACATACAGAGGAACAAAATGTTGTTTCGTAGGACCACAGTGCTACATAAATTTATCATAAATACAAACACAACACTGGACATACGAGCTATTTTTAAAAACCTATGCATAACTAACATATACTAAGGGTGCAACGGATATCGGTTGATCCATAATCCTTACGGATCACAACCCACAGTTCATAATGCATGTGACTCGCGGATTAATAACTTTTTTTGAAATCGTAGGTTAATCCAACATTTACAGTATAACAATCACAGAGAAATCGGCTCCCATGTCTTTCAAATCATATGTATGTAAGCATTTTGGCCTCCTTGTAAAATATAATGATGACGGAAAAATTTGTTTGACCTAAATGCTTTCTTAGGCTATTAATTAAAGGTGTTTTCTGTAACTGTTTGTTTAGCCTGCATTAATTCATTCAGTTTAAGCTGCACAATAAAATGTTAAAAGATCGTTCAAACCCAAGAAACATGAATGATAGTGATTTGCAAATGTTTATTGATCCTTATAAGCGCTGCATTCAAATCTGCGTTTGATCGAGAGATTCAGTTTTACACTTTTTCAGTTCATTACAAACAATTAAATAACACAAAAGTTCTGGGAGAACAGTTAATAGTTCGGATATAAACACTGATGTTAATGGTAAAGATTAAAATCACTGTTTAATGAAACGTGACGCTGGTGAATTTTACAGTGTGTAGTAAATAGATGGCGACAAACAACCATCAAAATGATGTCACTGACTAGGTTTTTAAAAATGATCCACCTATAATGAAACATGAAATTTTATGTGTGAATTGTTGAATCATTAATTGAAGATACATATGATCTGTTGTAATGTTAGATTTCTATATTTAGCATTTTCAGCAACAGTAGCAAAGATAATTTTTCATATAGAATATTTTCTTTTTTCAGCTGGTTCTTTCCTGATTTTTTTATTTTTTTTATTAAAATTACAGGTTCCAAGTTATGTTTGTTAAAAGCAATGGTTTTTACACTAATATTTTTGTATAAATGAAAAACAAATGACATTGGTTTTTGAGTCAGATCAACCATTTTTCGGATCAGCAAAAAAAACAATAGTGTGAGAACCGTGAGATTTGTGATCCGTTACACCTATACCATATAATGTATTATCCTTAACTACACACATAAGCCAGGCTATACAAGTACTTTTACATGAGACTGAACAATGTTGTGCAGGATATGGTGTAAATAAATACACTAAAGACATCTTAAAATAAATTGTTACCCTTATTTTCTTTCATTCTTGACTTGACAAAACATAAAAAGCCAAATCATAATATAATTCTTATTTGAAATTAATAATACACATTTATTATCTAATCGTGACTAGATCAAATAACCAAAATAAGATGGTAATTTTTACATAAATAAGTAATTACGACAGGCCTGTTGTGCAATATACTCTGGCCATGTTTTCAAAGGATCCACCCTGTCTGAGCTGAAAAGCCGGAGATTTCTATGAAAACCTCATTCAAAGTGTGTTCTGAGCAAGTTGAATTGTATTAACTCTTTCAATTCTATGCATTTTTTTTTTTAAATGTCTTAGGAAAATTGTTGAGCGTATCGACAGCAATGTTGATGGATTTATCACCACTGATGAACTCAAAGCCTGGATCAAAAGAGTTCAGAAGCGCTACGTTTATGAGAACGTTGCAAAAGTCTGGACTGACTATGACCTGAACAAAGACAACAAGATCTCTTGGGATGAATACAAGCAGGCGACTTACGGTTACTACCTCGGTAAGACAAGCTGTATCTGAAACCGTCAATTTAGATATTTCAGGTTTGAAGTTTGATATTCATCCAGTGTTTATATGAGATTCATTGTGTCCTTTTTTCCCAGCCAACCCAGAGGAGTTTGAAGATGCTACAGATCAGTTTAGCTTCAAGAAGATGCTTCCACGAGATGAACGCAGGTTTAAAACCGCAGACCTCGATGGCAATTTGGCTGCAGACAAAGAGGAGTTCACTGCTTTCCTCCACCCAGAGGAGTTCGCTCACATGCAGGAAATTGTGGTTCTTGTGAGTATGTTTATGATTATGGTGTTGTAGACAGTGGTAGTTACTGTCAGTTTAATTATGAAGACTACTTAAAACAACCATCATGATATTTCTAGAAATAATATAGATCTGTCTCCTCTGCTTTACCAGGAAACTCTGGAAGACATTGACAAAAATGGCGATGGTCATGTCGATGAAGATGAATACATTGGTAGGTGCTGATGTATTTTTGTGTGACCAATAGAATGCACCATAAAAATTTGGTGTGGTTTGCGTTCAAGCTGCCATTTTTGCTAGTGAACTAGAAACAAAAGCACCCATGTGCTAAAGTCAAACGTTAATTGGATAGAAATGCTTGCAATCCTGTGGTGTATGCCGTAGGGTTTCACGTTTTACTGGTATTACTGTGATACTATGGCTTCAAAATACTGGCCATGCCATTGTAGTTTTTAAACAGTAATATTCTCATTAATGGTAGCGTCAACGGTAGGGGTGTCAAAATTAATCGTTTCTTCGGTGCACTGCGATGCAGACGTGGACGATTCGGTATCGGTTCAGTAATAATCATAACCTGTTTTTACTGACGTCATTTACCTCATATGCGCTCTGTCGCGAGGGAGGCGATCACGAGTATTTACAGTGCTTAAACTACTTAAAACTCATAAACTGTGCATAATTTCACTGTGTGTGTTTGCTGGATCAGTTTTTTACTGATATATACAACAATAGCCCCTATTTCACTGAGATCGAGAGAATGAAAGTAGCCTACTCAATTTCTCTCTCTCTCGCTCTCTCTCTTTCTCACACACACACACACACAGTGGCCCATTTGACCTGCTGGCGTGGCTTTTCTTCTCTTCTCGGCTGTTTTACTTTTGCATACAGAAACGAGCGCGTGTCTGCAGAGTTTTCTCCACTGTGTCTATCATACATCAGCTGTGAGATCGCCGCTGCCGCCTGCCGCTTATCAGTATCACTCATCTGTGAAGAACGCAGCGCGCAAGAGCCAATCGCAACCGTTTTTTTTTGAGGGTGTGACCAATCAAAGAGGTGTAAGAGAACTAGACAAGGATCAGAAAGTGAGCTGGATATTTATATTTGTTCATATTATTTGCTAAATGCTCGTTTTGTTTAAAGGTACAGTTTATATTTCTGACTGTTTGTATTAAATGACAAAATTGTATTACAAATAGTATATAAATATAAATATATTCATACATTTTATTACAAGAAATGCTGCTGTGAAGAAATATAAAACTGTGTATGGAAAGCATCGTCAATGCACCGTGATCCACCGAAATATCGAATTGAGCTGAATCGATGGCATGATAATCGTAACCGAACCGAACCGTGAGACTAGTGTAGGTTCACAGCTCTAGTCAACGGAATTGCTAGCTGCAGAAGTTGGGATCGCTTTATATACCCCAGCTCACAGTAGCCAGAAAGTAGCCAATTTCATTGGCTTTTGCTGCTATGAAGATTGCTTCAACACTAAGCTTCAGACTTCATGCTCTCTGTCAAGCACTGTCACCGATGCCCTTTGTGAATGTGCGGTTACACTGGTTCTTCTCTTTCCTCGTGTGAACGCTATTTTTAGGTGCGTTCACTTAAATCACGGCTGCAGTCTACGGTCAATGAGATTAACTGAGTGCAGGCGGAGTTGAAACGAGAACCGTCAATTCAGACACTTATAATACATAATTGTAGTATTAAAACATAGAAAATATAGTATTTCTGACAATTTTCTTCATTTTGTATAATGAATTTTGAGTTAATACAGTACTGCGATATTACTTTGTATCATGATACTTCACCTGGCTTAGTATCGTGACATGAATTTATGGTGTTGTATTAATCCTACTATGCTGTGCTGTCCGAAGAGTTCGACACAGTCCAAACCCTTGCTGTAGCTATGATGACCGTTTACACATCACATCTTTAGTTCACACAATTTTTTTATTTCAAATGTAGACATGCACAAGTAGACTAGGACAAAGTCATGAAGTGTGTATTATACACATTTCATATATAACGGTAGACTAGTTACCTCAGACAGACACAAAACAGCAAAGCACAGCAATGCCTTTTTTCTGTCCTCTTTCTAAATAAAACAAGTATGAAAGCTAGAGCTGGGGCATAAACTGGGATTTGTAAGTGATGGTTCATTGAAGATTGCTGCTAACAGTTGCTTGGCAATAGCATATGTCAAGGGTCAAACTACGGGATATTCTTGCAGATTAACGCAGAAGTTTATCATAGGAATTTTATCGACCCATTTTTCCACAGTTGGCATTAAGGAACAAATAAACACTCTCTGACTAACAAGCAGCAGCTAAATGTGTCTGGAAAATGATTCAAAGGGCTTTTATTTTCATAAACGGTGCAGATATAAATGTCATCCATATAAGCATGTTCTGATTGGCCGGAGTAGACATCGAACGAATTTACAGGGATTTTCTAAAAGGGCCTGTTCACATGATCTCATTCTGAAAAATTGATGGTAATTGTTCTAAAAAGTCTGCATGTGTGAAAGCGGCTTATAACTCCAAGTAAAAACATTTTTCTATTGTTTTCAGCGGACATGTTTGCACATGAAGATGCTGGTCCAGAGCCAGACTGGGTAAGGACTGAGAGAGACCAATTTTCAGATTTCAGAGATCTGAACAAAGATGGGAAGATGGACCTAGAAGAGATTCGTCACTGGATCCTGCCACAGGACTATGATCACGCACAGGCAGAAGCCAGACATCTGGTGTACGAGTCAGACACAGACAAAGTAAGAACGGGCTAGGATACTGTTAAGAATGGTTTCCAAAACAACCTTGTAGGATGTAACGATTCACAATAATAATCTCACGATTTAGTGACGTTATTTATACAAAATTATCTGACATTTAGGGTGAACACAAAAGCCCTTTAATTTTTTTTCTAAAATGCTGCACAATTTTTACAAAATAAAATCTTTTCTGCAGTACCTCAAAAAAATTCTTTAATATGAACAAACTAAAACTTTTGACTGTGCAGTTACATTACAAATTTAAAAAGAATTCCAAATAAAAAATAAACAATACAAATTAAAGAAGGCACTTTTAATTTAAATTTTTTTTATTAATAAATATGCGTAAACTAATTACTGAAATATGCGGAAACTAAATTTAAAAAGAAAGGGTAAAAAAGAAATCTGAAATGTATTCATACTTTCGCTATGAAAACACTAGCTATGTTTCCGTTTTAAAATGCAAATTAATTTTATGCGCAAAACTAGATTATCGCATAAAAGACATGCTAATAAAGCTGCGTTTCCATCCAACAAGTCTAAGCATCACTTCCTGGGGTCCGTTCTTCGTACCTCGCTTAAATGATCTAAGATTATTTGGCAGATCCTGGATCTTTTAATCTTGATAACTGATCTCTTGCTAATTTGGTTCTTCAAACAACTTCGCGAACCAGATTAGAATGTCTGGATGAACTGATCTGAGATCGCTGCGTGTGTTGTGAAGGACAGATCTATTGATCCTCGAAATCATGATCAGCAATGCAATGATTGGCTGACGGCACAGCAGCGTAATGACATCATCTGATTAATATTCAATTATCCATGTGAGCAAAATTACTTCAAATTAGCAGTAAACGGTTTGTTTAATATGACACACAAGAACTTTCCACATTTGTTGTGAGCTGCAGGCTTTACACTTTCATTTGTCAAGACGAGTATTCATCATGCATTTCAATGCAAATCAATGTATTTAGTTCTACATTTAGAAAAGATTTTCTTTATAATAGTATCCGTTTTTTAATCGGTGTAAAGAATAACTGGTTGTTTACAAAAGCATTTTCATATTGGTAAAGGTGTCTGCAACTTTTGTGAAGCATCAATCACTGGCATTTTAACTATCAAAACATGTTTATGACTGCATAAATGTATTATTGCTTTTAAAAAAAGTCACATATTGTGCATTTCTATTATACACAATTTGTACTAAGCGATCTAAAAAGTTCATACCAATAAGTTTTCTCTTTGCACCACCAGATGGCAGTCTTTGTTCATTTCGAGGGTGCAGATTGCATACGTTTTATTAATATGTATAACTTTATTTATTTTATTAATGACTTTAACTTTATATATATAGTTAAAAAATATGTACCATTTTCCCAAGTGTATATAACTACTACTGTAAGAAAATATCAGAATTCGTAACATACTTACTGTATTATCTTTGCTTGAACTGAGCCGATCTAATCCTGTTTATATGAATTGAACCTGCTCCCGATCAGGCTTGACCTAGCAGAACTGTTGCCATGACAACAACTCTCGGATCAGCTTTGAAGAACGAAACGATCCTGGATCATGTCAAATCGTCAATATCCAAATCCAGCTAACTGAGTAATCCACGTACGAAGAACGGACCCCTGATTAACTGGCGCCAAATATCAACAGTAAAAACAGAATATGCTGCAGTAGAAGCTGCGTGAATCTTCTTCATTTAATAAATCACTTGCGCTTCAGAAGGCAATCCTGACACACAGTGGCGTTTGAAGGTGTCAGATGCGGAGCACAGACGCTCTTGATTCTGGAGGTCATTAATAATATAATAACAGTAAGGCGTTGTAGAATGACCAAACAATATTTCAAATGTTTTACAATGTGCTCAGCCTGCTGGTTTGTCCATTCATGCACATTTTTATCATCACAAGAACTCTTAGAACAAAGTCACATGACCTTTTTTTTTAATGCACATACTAGAATTTGTTCGATAAAAATGTTTCCAACACAGTTTATGCACATCGTTTCTTATCGAGTAAAAGGTTTATCCTACAAGTAAATAGCCCCTTTCACACATACAGACCTTTCCGGAAAATTGCCGGCAATTTTCCGTAAAGCTTGTATGTGTGAACAGGTCCTTTTTGAAAATACCGGTAAATTCGTTCTGGCTATTTTCCGGAAAGAGAAGTTGTAACATTACCGGCAATTTGCCGGAATGCTGCGCTGTGTGAATGCAGAAGGAAGATTCCCGTAATAAGCGCGTGCACGTCTAGAACGTGCTGACGTGAGACGTCTGCTTTAGCCAATCACAACAGTCAGACGCATTTACGTCCGCGCGGTTTGTGAGGATAAAAGTCTTTGAATATTTTTCCAGACACATTTAGCTGCTAGAAGTTAGTCAGATCACGTTTATATGTTCTTCCTAATGCCAACTGTGTAAATAATCATCGATGAGATGCTTATGATAAGCCGTTGTTTGTTTACCTTCAAGCTTTGCGTGCGCCTATGAGCGCCTGTACACGCACATATTATGAACATCTCGACATGCGAAAGTGATCCTGCGAAAGTTGTTCACAATATTGATCATCCACAGAGTTTGTAATTTAGTCAAATGTTTACAAATACAAGCACAGCCGTTTAAAGCTCATTTGTGGTGAATGATGTCAGAATTTACCAGTATTTTGGAATGGATGTGTGAATGCTCTTTTCCGGAAAATTTCCGTAACGTCCTCGCCTGTGTGAACAGCGCTTTTTTCAATATACCGGTAAAGTCGTTCCGGAAATTTTCCAGAAATTTACCGGTATCACTGTGTGAAAGGGGCTAATGTCTTTTTGCAGTATTTGCACACCGTTTGTGTTTGTCTGGTGCACTTCACCGCTGTCATTTTACTAACCTCTTGCGAGCCACTGATGTGCAGGTAAAGCAAGTTTGCGTCTGTAAACACAGCGCTGACTCAGTTGAAAAAATGTATCTTGATTCATTCAACATTTGCACCGTTTTGAATCGTCACAATGTTGTGAGCAGTGTTTCAGCATAGAAGAGCGATTTCTACAAGTTTATGCAAGACTGAAGGCTAGAGTGTTGATGCAAAAAAATAGTATTGCATACTAGTGTTGTTTATGAAGTTTAGACAACTGTATTGTTTTCAAACATGTGCAATTTGAAATATATTTTCCAAAAGTATATTTTTTAAGGCCATTGCAAATTAACAAATGCATAAAGAGAGAGTTTTTTAGCCGACAGTTATTAGCCAAAGTGTTCTGTAAATGCCCTCTGAAATAGTACCTTTACTGAAATACGATTGTTTTACCAGCAATATCAAGCAATAAAAGATTGTTAAATTGAAGTGGCTGATGGTTGAGAAACATGCACACTTTTCATGACGGCTGTTCGTGTTTTTGTAGGACCAGATGTTGAGCAAAGAGGAGATACTTGAGAACTGGAACATGTTTGTTGGCAGCCAAGCCACCAACTACGGTGAAGACCTTACCAGGAACCACGATGAGCTCTGAGCCCAACTGACCTCTACCTGAAAACACAGGTATCCGAAACTCAAACTCCATGGCATCCTTCCTTTCAGAAGCCATGCAACTGACTGATGAACTGCAGCTCTACCTCACAGACTGGACATAGAGGACCACTGACTGATGGCCATAGTCCTGATACAATACAAGGAGATTCTCCTTCGCTCTATGTTCGTTTTGTGGGTGCTCAAGAAACTCTTGAGAGTCTGCTTGAGCTGCTACAGATTTCTGAGCCTTTCATCTCCAACGTGTTTCATTTTTAAATCGGTCCTAGTCCAAAGCTTGTACCTGTACAAGCAGTGCAGGTTTTTGTCTGATCAAATAGTCTATTTATTTGGAATTTGAATTGAATTTCTTGCTTTGAAATTACAATGCTTTTACTCCCTCAAACACAAGTCACTTCAAACACTACAAGTGTTGATAAACATAACATGAATACATGAATGTGTAATCACACTATTGATTATCAAAAAGTTCCCGCTGCTGGCCAATAATGAGTCTTATTTGTTTTGACACCATACATGTTTTAAACAGAGCTGCCTTTGATGCAATTTACCTTATGTCTTTATGTTTGCACATGTGGTCTATTTTTAGCTAATGTCCGTTAATATTAATCCCTATTTATACTATCCATTTCATGTCACTTTTTTAAAATTGGATAATTAAAGAGTCTATAAAGTGTGTTTTGTGTGTGTACCCTATCATTTACAAGTTTGTTGTTATGAAAGGAATGAACTTTTATTCAGTAAGCATGCATTCAATTGTCTAAAACACTCGAGCATTAAAATCAAGACATTAAATGTAAAGGAAATTAAGCTGTAATATTTTTTCACAATATTTCTGATTAAATAAATGCAACTTTGGTCTCTTCTGCTGAAAAAAACATGACCATGCATGTTTGAACAATATACTGGCATTTGTGTGTGACATTTGCAGTGGTGGTCAGTAAATACTGCTGGAATTTTTGTAAAAGTAGCAATTCTTTCATTAATTTTCTTGTCGGCTTAGTCCCTTTATTAATCTGGGGTCGCCACAGCGGTTTGAACCGCCAACTTATCCAGCAAGTTTTTATGCAGCGGATGCCCTTCCAGCCGCAACCCATCTCTGGGAAACATCCACACATACACACTACGAACAATTTAGCCTACCCAATTTACCTGTACCACATGTCTTTGCACTGTGGGGGAAACCGGAGCACCCGGAGGAAACCCACGCGAACGCAGGGAGAACATTCAAACTCCACACAGAAACACCAACTGAGGCGAGGATTGAACCAGCGACCCAGCAACCTTCTTGCTGTGAGGCGAACGTGCTACCCACTGCACAACTGCGTCACCTAAAAGCAGCAGTTCATTTGGCTAATATTATTAGTCAGTTAATGTCATTTTTTTACTCTGCAGCTCTTATTATTATTATTTTATTATTATTATTATTTTTGGGTTAAAGTTTATACAAGGCATTGAACAACTTAAATCACTATAAAATTAGTTGTAGACTTCATTTTTAACGCAGTAAATTTTTTGTTAAGTCACAGAAGCTAGCGTGAAGTTTTTATCTTGTGAAATGCTTTAATTTAAATTTAATTTAAGGCAGCAAAACATCCTCTGCTAAGAAACACCAACTCCTTTTCTTTTAAAGTTGTTTTGATTGCTGGATAATTGTTATTAGCAAACTGCATAAATTCATTCATTCAGTTTGGTGCCTTTATTCACCAGGAGTTGCCACAGCGGAATCAACCGCCAACTTATCAAGCATATGTTTTACACAGCGGATGTCCTTCCAGCTGCAACCCAACACTGGGAAACACCCATACACAGTCTTTCAAACATACACTACGGACAATTTAGCCTACCCCATTCACCTATAGCGCACGTCTTTTGGACTGTAGGGGAAACCGGAGCACCCAGAGGAAACCTACACGAACACGGGAAGAACATGCAAACTCCAAACGGAAATGCCAATTGACTTAGCTGGGGTTTGAACCAGCAACCATCTTGCTGTGAGGCGATTATGCTACCCACTGTGCCAAATGCAATTTAAAAAACGAACGTGTGCACAAAAACTCTCAGATGTGACACTTATAAATAGCAAATGATCTTGAAGTTGAGCTTACTGATGTCTGCCTTAAAAACACCCCTAAATAATCATTACCATATAAAGGGGCTGACGCCTTGACCTTTTACTTCAGAATGAACAGCACAAAGAACTTTGGAAATTGAAAAACTGACTGTTTCTTGTTGTTTAAAAAAAAAAAAAAAAAATATATATATATATATATATATATATATATATATATATATATATGTATATATATATATATATATATATATATGTATATATATATATATGTATATATATATATATATGTATGTATATATATATATGTATATATATATATATATATATGTATATATATATATATATATATATATATATATATATATATATATATATATATATATATATTACATAACTATAGTAAACTCTTTATATTAACAGTTTACTTGTGCTACTCAAATGTACCATTAATAAACTGACACAAATATATTTTGTACAATACACTCACTGGTCACTTTATTAGGTAGACATTACTAGTACCAGGTTGGACCTCCTTTTGTCTGCAGAACTCCCTTAATCTTTTGTAGCATAGATTCAACAAGGTACTTTAAATATCCCTCAGAGGATTTGGTCCATATTGACATGATAGCATCATGCAGTTGCTGCAGATTTGTTGGATGCACATCCATGATGCAAATCTCCCATTCCAGTAAATCCCAAAGGTGCTCTATTGAATTGAGATCTGGTGACTTTGAAGACCACTTGAGTATAGTGATTTTATTGTCGTGTTCAAGAAACCAGTCTGAGATGATTCATGCATTAAGACAGTGATCACCAAACTTGTTCCTGGAGGGCCGCTGTCCTGCAGATTTTAGCTCCAACCCTAATCAAACACACCTGAACACGCTAATCACGGTCTTGCTAGATATACTTGAAACATCCAGGCAGGTGTGTTGAGGCAAGTTGGAGCTAAACCATGCAGGGAGTGAGATTGGTGACCCCAGCAGATTGTCTAGACCAGGGGTGTCCAAACTCGATCCTGGAGGGCCGGTGTTCTGGAGAGTTTAGCTCCAACACTAATAAAACAACTGAACCAGGCAATTAAGCCCTTACTAGAAATACTAGAAACTTCGTGGCAGGTGTGTTGAAGCAAGTTGGAGCTAAACTCAGCAGGACCCCAGCACTCCAGGATCGTGTTTGGACACCCCTGGTCTAGACCATGCCTAAATGTACCGAGTTGCAGCCATGTGATGGGTAATTAGAAATTTGCATTAACGAGCAGTTGGACAGGTGTACCTAATAAAGTGGCCGCTGAGTGTATAACTGATATAAATGACAACGCTTAAGGCTAACATCTCTTTTCACAGAAGCAGAACATTTTTTATTTATTTATTATGGATTTATTTTGATTATTGATTGTAGATTTTATGCGTTAGTAAATCAGACATTGCTAACTGCATAGCCTACAGCAGGGCTCACCAATCTCGGTCCTGGAGGGCCGGTGTCCCTGCAGGGGTTTAGCTCCAACTTGCCTCGACACCCGTGCCCGGATGTTTCAAGTATACCAAGTAAGACCTTGATTAGCTTGTTCAGGTGTGTTTGATTAGGGTTGGAGCTAAAATCTGCAGGACACCGGACCTCCAGCAACAAGTTTGATGACCTCTGGCCTACAGTATGCGAGTAAAGCCATCTCAACATCAGGCTATAAAAAAGTTGGTTTAATCTCGCAAAAAAAAATACTGTAAATACCAAATCTGACTACACCACACAATTATTCTCTCTACAACCTTGCCACAAGTTCTACTCCAGCTCAGATTTTGACATGGTGGTGAGTACTTTTCCACATTTTTATATGTTTTATGAACATTGCCATGGATTTTAGCATATACACACAGACACTAAGATCAAATCTGAGAGAACGCACATAACTGTGATGTCACATTGTTCACATTCTGGACATGGCTTGTTCTGAGAAGCTGCTTACGATTAATGCAGATTTTTTTAAAGGAGTTGGTGGTTTTTAATTATTATGGGATGGCAGTCTATACACGCTACCATCTCACTTTTATGTTCAAACAACATGTAAAAGTGACTTCTGCATAATAGTTACCCTTTAAAAAGAACTAAAAATGAGTATATTATAACTAATGCTCTGTAAGTATGTTTTTTTTTTTACTTCCAAAAGAGCAAAGTGAATTAAACCTGGCATCTTATACTTCAGGCAAATCCACGGCTCCATCTGTTTACCTCCAATGAGGAGATGCTTATTGGAGTTCCTGTAATATCGGTGATGTCTGCAGTCGGGTCATCTCCGTACGATGCCCTGCAGAAGGAAAATATATAATTAGGTAAAGATGCGTCATTTGTCAGAGCTAGAAAGCCAGTTAATGTAAGGATTACCATGTTTTCTGGCCCACTGCCTGAAGGTTGAGTAAATTACAGTTTCTTTTCCCCTTCCAGGATGTTTGATGCGTCTCAGGTTTCAAGCCCTGGGCTGAAATTACCTCTGTTTTCATGTGAAGATGTTTTATGCCCACTATATTTTTGTTCTCTTCTATAGGCTTAGCAGAGATTACACAAATGTATGTTTGGCCTGAGGAGAACTTTTTTTTCTTTAAGGAAATGTTTGCATGCTGTTTTAGTGTCATGCAATGAAGACTTTTTTTCCCCTCTCTCTAGTGGTTGATACATTAAGAACTTTTACAATTACATACATTTATACATGATCCATTATTAGCACAAATCCTTAATATTTAGGGAGACAATTGAGTGTATATACTGCAAAACATTGTTTCTTCCTCAGCATTTGCGTCTGTTTTTTCTGTATAAATATTCGGGACACAAGAAAACAAGATGTTATTCATTTTATATCATTTTTTTATTTATTTCTAGACTTTTTTTGTTTGATTTAATTTAATACTTTTATTTGAATTTATTTATTTATTTTGTTTTAACTAAATTTATTAAAAAACTAATGTAACTATATTTTTAAACAATATAAATTCAATTTAAACAAAAAATAGAAAATAAATTCAATTAAAAATATAAATTTAAACCAAACAAAAACTTTTTGTTTGATTTAATTTTATATTTTTAATTGTAGCCTTTTTTTTCTTTGATTTTTATTTTATATTTTAATTGAACTTATTTTCTAAAGTATTTTTTGTTGTTGTGTTAATAAAATGTATTGTATTTTTTAAAAATCTAAATGTTAATTAGATTTTTTTAATAAAGTAAATTCAATAAAAAAAATTGAAAATGGATTAAATTAAAATATAAAATTAAATCAAACAAATTTTTTTGTTTGATTTAGTTTTATATTTGTAATTATAGATTTTCTTTTTAATTCTAGACTTTGCTTTTTAATTAAATTTATTTTCTAATTTTGGTTTAATTAGATTTTTTGAAATAAAATAAATTCAATTAAAATAAAAAATAAATGTATTTAAAAATCTGAAATTAAATCAAACTAAAACGTTCAGTTTGACTTAACTTTATATTTTTATAATAGACTTCTTGATTTGATTTTAATTTTATAGTTTTGATTTATTTTCCTTTTTGTTTTAATTCAATTTATTTTATTTAAAAAATGTTAATTTGATTTTTATATTATAAAAACATTTAT